CAGCACTTAGGCCACAATTGACCCATTGTGCATCCTCCTAGAGAGCTGTCACCCTCAGCTCATTGTCCATCCTGCCATTTCTAGGAAGGTGGACAAGTCACCAGAAGACATCTCACTTATGTGGGCAGGTGTGGGCCAGGACTCGCCGAACGCGTACTCTCGTATTAACGATAACTCCTACATAGAGGTGTGTCTACTAGCCTCAGTGTGTGGAGGTGTTTGCTTAGTTGACAATGACCAGTTAAAAAACCAACTGCCAAACGTAGATTTTTCCTGGTCATTCCCAAGTACTTCTTTGATGTTAACTCTTCAAGGTTACTTAGTGTTACCCTGGCAAGTTTACATCCTTTCCCTTCTTCCCATCTTTTTACGGTTTGCGTATGGGAGTGACATTTGACAATTTCCGCGATTGTTGTAGTTGACCAACCAAAAAGATCTCCAGGTCCTAAGAGTCTTAGGCCTGCCGCCTTCCTAGATAATTGGTCAGCAATGCGGTTGCCTTTATTCCTATTGTGTCCTTTAACCCACTTCAGGATGATAGTATTACCATCCGAAGCTTGAATTAGTGACTCGTGACACTCCATTACTAAACCTGATGTGACACGTGGTCTATTCAAGGTTAGTAGCGCTTGTCTGCTATCTGTGCAGATCATTATAGTTTTCCCTGCTATACCTTTTTGGGTTATCTCTTTTGCGGCTATAGAGATACCAGTCAGTTCTGTCTGAACTACACTGGCATTTTTGCCCATACCCCACTTTATTCTTAGGTTCAGTGATCTGGAGTATATCCCGCATCCTGAGCCTTCTTTCATTTTGGAGCCATCGGTGTATATGCAATAGGCATTTGCCACGTTTGTCTCCATACACTGTCTTGTTTCAATTTTGTATGGTTTGTTAAAGACGAACTTTGGTTCAATTGAGTCGCAGCCTGCCTGTAGTACTGGTAACGCATCCAGCTCTCCCCGCCAGAAACGAGTTCTCAATTGTCCCATTCCTACATCAAGGTTTGCACCAGCTGAGGTCGCATCATTGTCACTAGAGCCACCTCTTTGACATATATATCTAGAGGCGTGATGCCAATGATCAACTCCATTGCAGCAGTTGGTGTTGTTTTCATGGCACCTGTTATATTTATGCAAGCCATCCGCTGAATATGGTTTAGTTTGTTAATCGCTGTTGCCTGTAGCACTTTTGGTCCCAAGCAATAGCTCCGTAAGTTAGCATTGGCATAGGCAATATATGCTCTTTTAGCTCTACCATCTAGGTGTGAGTTCCATGTTAACTTCCTGTCAAGGGTAATACCAAGGTACTTCACCTCGTCAGAAAAATTTAGACTGTAGTTTAGAATCCTTGGGGGTATTAAGCCCGTGATTCTTCTTTTCCTGGTAAAGAGGACCATCTCTGTTTTCTTAGGATTGATAGATAGTGAGTGTTCCTTGCACCATGTTTCTATTTGTCGAAGAGCAACTTGTGATCTCTCACATAGTGTGTTCTCAAACTTACCGCTTTGCAGGACAGCAATATCGTCTGCATAGGCTATTGTGTAGAAACCGTTGCTGTTAAGTGGGTCAACCAGGGTATCTAGAACTATGTTCCATAGTAGTGGTGATAGCACCCCTCCCTGTGGCCATCCCCTCGTAACCATGCCTCTAACAGAAACGTCTTCTACATTTATGCTTATTGCTCTACTAGAGAGCATACTAAATATCCATTTGCTTATGGCCAGGGGAACATTCCTAAGGTTGAGCTGTTGGGTGATAGTTGGGAATGTGGTTTTATCAAACGCTCCCTCAATGTCTATGAATATACCTAGGGTGGATTCTTTATTATCTTTCGAATATTGAATTCAATGTTCAATTGTTCAATTCAACAATGTATGTTACCTGAAGTCATATTTAATTTAATACTGAACATCACAGTTTTTTAACAACAAGATGTATAATCTTTTACAACTATATGTAATTTAAAGGGTTTTTTACCCATGTATTTTGGTGGCTCAGGCATTTTAACCTAGCAATTTTAAAATTTAAACCTGATGATGGACTGTTTAGTCCGAAAACGTTTGTTTTTTTGATGTAGCCCTTTTAAGGGTTTTTTAAATAAATATACCCACTTACGAAGACTAACCTCTTTAGGTTAGACAGCGGTGGTCAGACATAGAAATATCCTCCGATACCTGCCAGTTCTGAATCTTATATACGAACATTAATAAAGGTAGGTTCGGTGCCCTTATTTAAGATATACAAATCTTTTATAATAATAGTCATAAAGGGACTTACCTCGAGCGTTGTTGTCTTTGCTGCCCCAGCCTGTTGAGAGTTCGAATCGCAGCCGATAATAAGTTCTACCTTCTGACTGAGACAATGGTCTACCAGATCTTCCATTTCCCTTGTTGGTGGTAGGGTGGCTGCATCTGAGGGTAGGTAGACTGATGCTAGTATCAACTCTCTATTTTTGCCCTTTCCCCATGGGCACTTCACTTTAACCGCAGTTAGGTCTGAGGTGCAAAACTGCGCCATGGGGGAGGCTTTGATTTTTCTGGGAACATATATTGCTGTTCTCGGTTGTTGATTGCTTGGTAAGCTGAAAATTTGACCGTTTAGGCTGCTAAGACCAGTTATTTTGGTCTTATTTATCCAAGGTTCTTAGATTAGTGCTATTGCATCCTACGTTTCATCCAGGCGGCGACATAGTGTCGCCGTTGCCACCTTTTTGTGTTGGAGGTTACATTGAATAATGGTAACCTTATTTTTTTCGACGTTCTTGCCCATGGCTTAGGTATCGTTTCGGTTCTTTTTTAGGTGTCCATTTCCTCCTTGGTTGAGGAGGGGTCATCTTCAGTTGTTTTGGAACCTCCTCCGCAGAGTTCGTCGACCATCATCTGATGATCTTCTCCCTGCTGTGGAACCAGGGGTGTCTCTTGGAGGTTCGCCATTAGACACTCATTGTGTCCTGCGTGATGTACTGGTAAGCTCAGACTCAGTCCCACAATGGCAATAGCCTGGCCAGCATTAAAGTTGTCCAATTTTGTCCATGGATAATAAGAGTAAGGGATTGCAATAATAGACAAAATAAATATCAAAAAATATTCATCTATTTTTATGTACATTACTTTATACAAGTGAGATAACGGCCACTCACTATATTTTTACAATATCTATAGGGCCTCATCAATAATTAAAAATATACAATTAACTTATAAAAAAACATTTGGTAATTCAAAATGCAATTACTTTGAAAAATTATTGAACGAACACAGTTACATCTAAAATTAAGACATTCAAATAAAAAAATTCTCAATAATTTTTCAATAATGAGGTTAATAGCAATTCCATGTTCACTCACTCAAAATTTTTAAAAGGTATACATACTGAAAACTTAAGTCTCGTCAGCGGTTAGATGTCTAGCTAAAGTTAAATAAAATATTTATGTGCTTTATTCAATAATAAAATATAATTTAAACAATTTAAATTGATTCATAAATCATATAAATAAACTATATTCTATCTTTCTAGGAACAAAGATTTTTATGATACACAAATGTCTTTTCGAACTCAGTCACATCTAGCCATATTTAATTTTACACAAATATTTCAAGTAAAATATGGAGATCTCCCTGTATATGTTTAGTGTGTTAAGTTCATTCAATCAAAACTGCCCATATGTGTAGGGCATGCGCTGTGGAAACACTTGATAAACCTCTTTATTCAAATGACTTTAAACTTTTTTAAATTAATACAATATATTAACTTAGAGTCAAAGATATAAACGCTAACAAAAACAAAAACAAGAAAATATTCGAAAAATACTCTGATGAATATAGCACCATTATTATTTATCAAATTAAGGAAGAGAAAAGAGATTTGATTCCGGGAATTGTAACTAGAAACCAAATATTACTATATAAAAACGTAATATTTAAAAAATATCGATATACCGCCTTTATAGATTATAGCCATCATTTAATCCAATAAATTCGGTAAAGATTGTCTCCCTAATGATAGTATAACGTTAAATGTCATTGAATTCTAGTTATGAGCAATTTATAGAACAGCAACAATCCCAACTAAGCATCAAGTGGAATCTAGTACTGACTGAATGATTCAGAATTGTAAGTATACTAAATAGCTGCATATTAAATTCTATTCAAACTACAGACAAAATTCTACATTTGCACAGTTTAAGCTGATTGGCGCATTAAAATCGAATTACCTCTAGAAATATGATGAAATTAACCATCAAAAATTTTAGATATGTGTTTAGACTGAAAATACTGGGCGCGGCGACGGGAATTCTTAAAATTTACTCTGGCGTCTAGAAGACAGTGAAAAGTATTTGAATCGTGTTTAAAAGAAAAAAAATATTGCTCTAAAGATATTGATAAATCATTGCACTTTGTAATCAAGCGTGATTTATTGACATTATCGAGAAACACCAACATAAGAGTTAAAAAAATACTTATACTTCTACAGGAAACATCATGTAAGATTTTCTCTTAAGCGATGCCGTTAATATGACAAAAAGAAGACTTTCTCAATTAATATTCATATATAAACGCTAGATGGTAACATTTTATTGGAGAAAAGTTAGGAAACCTGGACTGGAAACTATTTGAACATCATCCATAGAGCCCAGATTTTCCCTCTTGTACCTAACACATATTTGGATAATTAATAAAGAAGATTAAATGAAACTTAATGATTAATTCAATAACTTAAAAATAAGGAAATTTGAACTTATGGGAATATATTATGAAAAATAAGTTAATTAAATTTTCTCAATTTGTTCATATTTTTACGTTTTTTGCATACATTATCACATTGGTGTTTGGACTATACATAGCAAGCACTACGTTTAGTAGCCTTTTCTGTTCATATCTGCCGAAGAACATTCTTAAAATAAAAATAACAAAACTGTTATAATTTACTTTGTGGTGCAAATATTAGAAATTAATCTATAATTATAGTGAATTTACATGAAATTGATTAACTTCAGTAAAACTATTGCTGACGTCTATGATGTCTACGTCCTCTACGATCGGATGGTCGCGAATCGCCTGATGGAAATCGATCCCTAGGAGGAAATGGCTGCTCAGGTGCATACCCTTGCCCTTGAATATAATTTGGAGGGTAGTAACCCAATCCCATAGGTGGTTGTCCGGGCATTGGAGGCATTGTGTCTCTACCGCGAGGATATGGTCTCCAATCACTATTCTCTTCTGAGGAGCTAAAAATCGGTAAAAAAAATTAATATCACTTACACTTTCACGTAATTGTAAATAATTTATAGCTACAGAAAAGCAACAGAAAGTGTCATTAAAACAAGATTTTATTGATACAATGTTTTCTGAGTTTACAAACCGGGGTCTAAAATTATTTCGTTCTGGCGTTTCGTCTGAACTGCAGCAGGCATTACCAAATGCAATGCAGCAAAAATAGAGTTGGTGCAAAACCTCAAAAACCTAGCAAATACGCATTCCCGAAAAAAATTAATCTTAAAAACATTGATTATTTAATTTCATACTGAATTGCGACTGAATTGGTCCGATCTGCATAAAAGTGCAGCTCACATGAACTGCAAAATTTTATGTTCAAATTCTGCAGTAGATAGGATGCGGACGGATTAAGGTGATTTTAAAGTTTTAAATAATTTGTTACAAAACCTATCACAAAGACATATTATTAATGTAGCCACTATTTACATTTGAAAAGATTATTTAATTTTCCCACGAAGAAAATCATTGGTCTTTATAATGATCTTTATGTAAAATATTTACAATTTGTTTAAGTATTTATATTGCACAAATTTTTATCATAAATACACCTACAGATAGGATGATATAAACTATCAAAAATTTTAGATTTGAAGAACAGCAAAAAATCTTAAAGGGAAAATAAATACTTCAACGTATAATAAAAAAAGACTGATTTAAAATCACAATGTATTTGCATTTTCAGGTCTTTATTGTCGTCTTTGGGATGACAAGAGAAATAGAAAATAGTGAAAAGAAAAGAGAACACGGTTGGCATCCCACATTACTGCGAAATTAATTAATATTTGCCTTTTGAGAAATTCACTGTACATTGTTTTTTTGTGCAGTATTTGTTTTTACGATTGGTAGGTTGCTAACCTTGCTAACTACACAATAAAAGTAAAAGTAGAAGAAGAACTAACCGACTCTATTGGAGCTGGCAATGGGATAAGACAGGGAGATTCCCTGATTCCTGTATTGTTCAACCTGATCAGGGATGAAATAATAAAAAAGTAAGAACTAACAAAAGATACCAAATGGGAGAAAAACAACTTAAAATAATCTGCTATGCAGACTACGCAATACTACTCTCTCAAAGTGAAGATGATTTATAACGTATACTACACCAATTTATTACAACCGCCAGAAAATTTAACATGTTAACTTCCCCAAAGAAGACAAAATGCATGGTTACAACAGCAAATTTACTAAGATGTAAATTGGAGCTGGAAGGTCAGATAATAGAACAAGTGATGGAATTTAAATATCTAGGAATCACATTATCTAGCTACGGAAAGCTCGAAACCTAAGTGGAAGATCAAGCGAATAGAGCAACCAGAGCCGCAGGATGCCTAAATGAAACAATATGGAGAAATAAAAATATCGGGAAAGAAACGAAAGGCCGAACTTACAAAACAGTCATCAGACCAATAATGATATACGGGGCAGAAACTCGACCTGACACAGAGAGCACAAAAAGGATGTTAGAAACAGCAGAGATGAAAACACTTTTCAATGGTAAAAATTTATGGTAAGAAACTATAGGACAGAACTAGAAGTACAGATATACGACATAGATGCAAGGTGGAGATCATAAAAAACTGGTAAGAAATAGAAGAGTAGAATGGAACGTACATATAAGCCGAATTACAACAAATAGAGTAGTAAAGACGGCAAGAGACGGTTCCCCAATAAGAAGACAATCAGTAGGAAGACCACGAAAACGATGGAATGATAACTTACTGGAGGCACATTGAAAAACAGACAGTCATGTCTATATAAAAAGAAGAAGAAATTCACTCGACCTATCCCAAAAATATATTCGGAGAGGGTTTATTTTAATTTAGTACGTTGTATGCCAAAACAAAAAAACCTCAAGCATACATTGGACAAACAAGGAAACATTTTAGTGGAGACGGGACAAAAATTAGGAAGATGGAAAGAATATATAGAGAAATTATTCCATGACCAGAGACAGGAAAATATATATGAAGATAATCAGAATAAAGATGAGGGACCCGAAATAAGAAAATCAGAAATTATGCATGAACTAAAGGCCTTAAAAAATAATAAAGCTGCCGGTCCAGATGAAGTACCAAGTGTATTGGTAAAACTGGTGAATGAAAAAAACATAGATCTTTTAGTCCAACTACTGAACACAATCTATTCCACAGGAATCATTTCACGTGAAATGCTGGCATCAACATTTATTTGTCTACCAAAGATAGTAAATGCCAAAGAATATAGTGATTATCGAACGATCAGTCTAATGTCACATACCTTAAAAACCATGCTAACAATCATCCATAATAGATTACACGCTAGGCTAGAGATGAATATTACTGATTCCCAGTTTGGATTTCGGAATGGAGTGGGCACAAGAGAGGCACTATTTTCTTTTAACGTGCTGACCCAAAGATGTTTGCATGGAAATCAAGATCTATGTATGCTTTATAGACTACAACAAGGCATTCGATAAGGTAAAATATGACCAACTTATAGAAGTACTCAAAAACAAGAATCTGGCTGTGAGGGATGTAACATTGATATCAAATTTATACTACAGCGAACGATCTAATGTGAAAATTGGAAGAGAACTGTCAGAAGAAGTGGAGATAAGGAGGGGGATTAAAAATGAACGGAAGTTTAATTAACAACATTAGGTATGCCGGCGATACAGTCATAATATAGCCGACAACTTGGAATACTTAGAAAGAATAATTAACAAAATTACGAACTCTCCCTTAACATCAAAAAAACCAAATTCATGAAAATTAGTAAGAACAATAATACAAACGAAATATTAACGGTAGGCGGCCAGCAGATTGAAAGAGTAAAAAGATATACTTACTTGGGAACGACAATCACATAAAATAACGATTATACTGCAGAAATAAGAGTCAGAATTGAAAAAGCACGTGCTAATTTCGTGAAAATAAAAAAGACTTTATGCAGGAAAGATCTGACATTGGCCCTCAGAATAAGGCGAATTAAATGCTATGTACACAGTGTACTCTACTATGGAGCTGAATCATGGACATTAAACCGGAATACAATAAATCGACTTAACGCGTTTGAAATGTGGACATTTAGAAGATTGTTAAGGATTCCATGGGTAGATAGAGTCACGAATACAGAAGTGTTAAGGAGAATAGGCAGAAAGAGGGAAATGGAAAATACAATAAAAAAAAGACATTGCAATATCTCGGACATGTGATGAGAGGCGAAAGATACAACATCTTGAGACTCATAATTGAAGGAACAATAGAGGTAGAAGCGTAGGAAGAAGACGCGTTTCCTGGTTGAGGAACCTGAGAGAGTGGTTTGGTTGCAGCTCGAGGCAATTGTTCAGAGCAGCTGCCTCGAAAGTCAGAATAGCTATGATGATTGCCAACCTTCGTCGCGGAGATGGCATCTAAAGAAGAAGTTGTATGCCACCAATGTTGGCGGTAAAAATTTTGTTGAGTAATTTATAAAATGATAAAAAATCCAACAAACTTCGTTTTAGACCACTTGATAGTAAAATTACCACATTGACCTCACCAGACTCTAGCGGCGTCGGAAGGGTAAGTACCTTCTCTGCATCAGCTTCCGATCTTACTTTGAACCCTGGTGATTTACTGATAAAGGGACTGCACCTTATCCCTATTTGGGATCGTAAACCGCACATATTGAGGGGAAAACGGTATTCCACGTTGCATTGATTCCCGTCTTTAGATTTCTCTTCGCCGTGAACAGATGAAGAACGCCGCTCCACGTTCCGTGAAATCTTTAAGACAGTTCTGTTTCAGACTCTCTATCGCCTTCTGAATTCATGCGCTTCCCCATAATTAATTCTGGACTGAAATACTCTTCTTCAGTTTTTTGTACACTTATGGAAGTATTTGCCCATATTTCTGGCGTAATTTTGCGCATTCGACTTATATAAAATATCTATGCTCTACTCGGTCCATACAAAATATGTCAGTTGGCAACTCATGACTTCTGTCATGTCAGTTTCGCTTCAATAGAAATGGAATGTTTTTAATATCTCTTGTCTACTTAAGCTGAGGTATCAGTTCAAAAACTCATTTATAATATTTAAATCTCTTCTGGGGTGAGTACAAATTGATGTCGTTTTATATTAGGATCTCCGTCGATAGGTTTTCCTCTACTTCTCTGTCTCTCATTTCCCGATTTCTGCCTTCTTTCCGACCAAGGTGAGGTCTTCTTTTTTCTTATACATCTACCATGAGGTTGTCATATTAGGATTTGTTTTAGATGTCGATCTTCGAGCATTCTTTGAACATGACCATAACATCTCAGTTGTTGTGTACCAAGATCTTCTACTACTGTATGATTTCCTTTCATGATTTCTCGTATTTTACTGTTAGTAACTCTCTCCAATCTTGATTTCCCTGCTAAACGTCTTCAGAAATCCATTTCCGTTGCCTCAAGTTTTCTCGTAAGTGATTCTACTTTTAACAATTGTGTTATTGATTGGTCCAAAATATATTATTTAGAAGGGATATTGCTTCTCTTTCCTGGTTATTTCTTTCTTCTATCACGTCGAGTATATTCCCTTTTTTGTGATGATCATATCTAGGTACTTATGTGTCACAATGTCTGATAATTTATTCATCTTCCAATGCGACATCCAGCTGTATCTTACCGACAGACATATCTTTTTTATGTTTATTTCAAGCCTTCATTTTTTAAATACCTCCATTAATTTTCTCTCTCCTATTATCTCATAGTTTTGTACTATTACTAATTGGTCATCTACAAATAATAATGTGTATATAGTATTGCTGTTTAACAGCAATCACATGTTTTTGCATTTATATTTCCAAAGTTTATGAGTTTGTTCCAGGTAAATCTTAAATAATGTCGGTGAGAGACAATAGCCTTGTATTGGTTTGGAATCACTTGGATAGGTTGTTTATAATTTTTACCCTTACCATGAATGTGTTGCTTGTGTGAGTCCATTTCAAATAGGTAAAGAAAAGACTTACTCACAATCAATTTAATTTAACTATCCAGCCGACCGGTTTTGCTTTCTACAATATGCAAAGCATCTTCAGGTCTCGATACAAAGTTAAATAAATGCTGAAATAATAATAAACCCATATTAGGGTGTTGTCTAATAAAGATAAACAAAGTAGATGATATAAATTACAGTAATTATGCCAATATTACATGTCTGTGGTTTTTCAAAATGAATAAAAAGGAATAAAAAAGTATAAAAAGTTTTAACATACAAGGTAAGACCCACCAATTGTTATAAAATAGTCTATTAAATTGTAATAAATTAATAAATGAGCAAATAAATAAAACATTACTTACATGCCGGTACTCTATTAATTGATGGATGGTAGAACATGGTTGAAACTATCATGTATTGTTGAATGGAGAACTTAAGTCTGTTATTCAGTTTATTTTCAAACAACTACAATAGCAGACTTAAGTTCTCCATTCAACAATACATGATAGTTTTAACCAAGTTCTACCATCCATCAATTAATAGAGTACCGGCATGTAAGTAAGGTTCTATTTATTTGCTCATTTATTAAAATTTAATAGACTATTTTATAACAATTGGTGGGTCTTACCTTGTCTGTTAAAACTTTTTATACTTTTTTATTCCTTTTGAAAAACCACAGACATGTAATATTGGCATAATTACTGTAATTTATATCATCTACTTTGTTTATCTTTATTAGACAACACCCTAATATGGGTTTATTATTATTTCAGCATTTATTTAACTTTGTATCGAGACCTGAATATGCTTTGCATATTGTAGAAAGCGAAACCGGTCGTCTGGATAGTTAAATTAAATTGATTGTACGTCTTATTTATTATTTCTTTACCTATTTTACCCTTACCTTAGAATTAGCATACATTTGTTTCGTTGCTCGTATTAAACCCATATTTACATTTGTTTTCTCCAATGCTTTCCATAGTTTATTTTGTTGGATACTGTCATATTATGCCTTTTTCAAATCTACATACAGTAAATGTACTTGCTGGTTGACGGTAATTTTATTTTCAATAATCTGCGTAAGGCAGAATAAATTATCAATAGTTGATCCAACATTGCCTAAGTGCTCAAGATTTCTTCTTTTGATAGTCAATATTATTTTAGTTTCATTTCCTATTCTTCTAGTAACTTCTGCATTCGATATTCTTCGAGTCCATGATATCCGTGAGATTCTTCTGTAACACTAAAATTCAAAGGCAGCCAAATTATTCAGATGCACTTGTTTTAATGCCCATGCTTCTAAGCCATAAAGAAGAGTATGAATACGTAAGACCGAAGCATTCTTAGGCGTAGTCCCTAACAATCCCCGACAACAAAGAAACTTTTTAAGTTTAACAAGAGATGCACGTGCTTTTTCAATATGTGTTTTAATTTATTTGATTTGGTCTACATTTGATGTTATCCATGTTCCTAAGTATTTGTAGGTATACAATCTCAATTATAGTATCTTCAACAATCAATTGGATGTTTGCATGTGCTGATTTCATCATAATCATGTATTGTTTTTTTCAAATTCATCCTTTGTCCGTATTCATATAGCATTCATTAAGCCGTTGCATTAGGTTTTGTAAATCATTGTTGTTATCCGTCATTATTACTGTATCTTCTGCAAAACGCTGGTTATTCAAAACTTCTCCATTGATAGATATACCTTCTATTGAACCTGAGAGCACTGGCGGACTCCTCTCTGTATTTTGATATCTCAGGTGTTCTGGTTGCCAACTCTTACCTTGGCAGTTTGATTCAATATATATATTAGATATCATTTTCATATCAAGACTGTGAATATTCTTGCTTTTTAATATATCTATAAGCTTTTGATGTAGAACCTTATCAAAATCTACAAAAGATAAGTACATGTCCTGATTCATATCCATGCATCTCTCGGCCAGCACATTCCAGCTGAACAAAGCATCTCTTATTCCCATACCCTTTCTAAAGTCAAATTGGGTGTCACTAATTTCATATTCAAGAGTTTTAATAATTCTGCTGTGTATTATTTGCAAAAATGTTTTGTCTGTGACTCATTTAAGCTATTGTTCTGTGATGTGAGCAGGATATTGCACTTGACTTTTTGGGTATTGCCACAAAGGTTGATTGCAGCTATTGTCTGGGGACTGTGGCATTCTGATATATTAGATTAAAAAGTTCAACCATTACATCAGTAACATCTTCATCAATGAGATTTAATAATTCGATGGGCACATCATCTGGTGCGGTAACTTTGCCCTCTTTTCTGTTTTTGATGGCATAGATGACTTCTTCCCATAATATTGGTGGTCCAGTATCCTCTGTGATTTCTAATGACAGTTCTTGTCTTTTATTATTAAATAGCTTTTGGAAGTAATTGGCCGTCACTAGTTTTTTTCTAAAGAAGTTGTCTGTTGACATCAAATTACTAAATAGACAAGTTTTTAACATAATAGCAAAATAATGAGTTTTGATTTAAAAATAGTTCCACTAAAAAATTGATGAATCCCTAAATGAGTCTTTTTAGTAGTATATCATACCACACATTTCCACTGTTAAACCCGTCTATATAGTTGTGACAAAAAAGGCTTATTTTTTACTAACTTGTTTGATCAATATGTATACTAAGTTAGGCCAATTGTTGGATAAAACACTCTTATATTATAACAGAATCGGCAGATATTCATAACAACAGCGCCCAAACAGTGAAAATGGTCTGGGAAAATGGAGGGCGCCACACGTCGCATCTAATTTTAAAACAAAAATCAAAGTGTCATTGGAAGTTCCCTATTAGCCATTGGACGTGCCGCATTGGGTTCCACTCATTGTGTTCTGCGTGGTGTACTGGTGAGCTCAGACTCAGTCCCAGAACGGCAATAACCTGACCAGCATTAAAGTTGTCAAATTTTGTCCATATAGGGGTAAGGGATTGCAATAATAGTCAAAATAAATATCAAAACATATTCATCTATTTGTATGTACATTACTTTATACAAGTGAGATAACGGCCACTCACTATATTTTTACAATATCTATAGGGCCTCCTCAATAATTAAAAATATACAATTAACTTATAAAAAACATTTGGTAATTCAAAATGCAATTACTTTGAAAAATTATTGAACGAACACAGTTACATCTAAAATTAATACATTCAAATAAAAAAGTCTCAATAATTTTTCAACAATGAGGTTAATAGCGATTCCATGTTCACTCACTCAAATTTTTTAAAAGGTATACATACGGTAAAACTTAAGTGTCGTCAGCGGTTAGGTGTCGAGCTAAAGTTAAATAAAATATTTATGTGTTTTACTCAAAAATAAAAAATATTTTAAACAATTTAAATTAATTCGCAAATCATATAAATAACCTATATTCTATCTTTCTAGGAACAAAGATTTTCATGATACACGAATGTCTTTTCGAACTCAGTGACATCTAACTATATTAATTTTACACAAATATTTCAAGTAAAATATTGAGATCTCCCTGTATATGTTTAGTATTACCATACGCGTAGGGCATGCGCTGTGGAAACGCCAAACTTTTCCTTGATAAACTAAACCTCTTTACTCAAATGGTTTTAAACTTTTTTAAATTAATATAATATACTAACTCAAAGTCAAAGATATAAACGCTAACAAAGATGAACAAGTAATTCTACTTAAACGACAGGAGAGATAAAAAACAACAAGAAAAATATTCGAAAAATAATCTGGTGAATCTAGCACCATTATTATTTATCAAATTAAGGAAGAGAGAGAATAGATTTGATTCCGGGAATTGTAACTAGAAACCAAATATTACTATATAAAAACGTAATATTTAAAAAATATCGATATACCGCCTTTATAGATTATAGCCATCATTTAATCCAATAAATTCGGTAAAGATTGTCTCCCTAATGATAGTATAACATAAAATGTCATAAGATCTAGGTATGAGCAATTTATAGAACAGCAACAATCTGAACTAAGTATCAAGTCTAATCTAGAACGGACTGAATAATTCAGAGTTGTAAGTATATTAAATAGGTGCATATTACATTATATTGACACTACAGACAAAATTCCCAAAATTTGCACAGTTAAAGCTGATTGGCGCATTAGAATCGAATTGCCTCTAGAGATAGGATGGAATTAACCATCAACAATTTTAGATATGTGTTTAGACTGAAAATTCTCGGCGCGGCGACGGGAATTCTTAAAATTTACTCTGTCGTCTAGAAGGCGGTGAAAAGTATTTGGATCGTGTTTAAACGGAAAAAAACTCGGGTGTCGAGAAACACCAACATAAGAGTTAAAAAAATATTTATATTTCTGCAGGAAACATAATGTAAGATGTTCTCTTAAGTGGTGCCGTTAATATGTCAAAAGAAGACTTTCTCAATTAATATTCATTTATAAACGCTAGATGGTAACATTTTATTAGAGAAAAATTAGGAAACCTGGACTGGAAACTATTTGAAGATCATCCATATAACCCAGACCCAGACTACTGTACCTACCACATATTTAGATAATTAATAAATAAGATTAAATTAAACTTAATTAATGATTAATTCAATAAATTAAGAATAACGAAATTTGAACTTATGGTTTACCATATTTTATGAAATTTAATTAAATTTTCTTTATTTGTTTACATTTTTACGTTTCTTGCATACATTATCACATTGCTGTTTGGACTATACATATCAAGCACCATGTTTAGTAGCCTTTTCTGTTCATATCTGCCGAAGAACATTCTTAAAATAAAAATAACAAAACTGTTATAATTTACTTTGTGGTGCAAATATTAGAAATTAATCTATAATTATAGTGAGTTTACATGAAATGGCATTAACTTAAGTAAAACTATTGCTGACGTCTATCGTACCTATAGCCCCCACGATCGGGTGGTCGCCAATCGCCTAATGGAAATCGGTCCCTAGGAGGAAATGGCTGCTCAGGTGCATACCCCTGCCCTTGAGAATAATTTGGAGGGTAGTAACCCATTCCCATAGGTGGTTGTCCGGGCATTGGAGGCATTACGTCTCTACCGCGAGGATACGGTCTCCAATCACTATTCTTTTCTGGGGAGCTAAAAATCAGTAAAAAAATATTAATATCTCTTACACTTTCACGTAATTGAAAATAATTTATAGCTTCAGAAAAGTAACATAGTGTCATTAAAACAAGATTTGATTGATACATTGTTTACATTTTTTTACATTGATACATTTGATTGTACGTGCACATGAACTGCAAAACTTTATGTTCGAATTCTGCATTTAGATAGGATGTGGGCGGATTAAGGTGATTTTAAAATTTTAAATAATTTGTTACAAAACCTATTACAAAGACATGATATTTTTAATATATCCACTATTTACACTTGAAAATATTATTTAATTTTCACACGGAAAAAATCATTGGCCTTTATAATATTTATATAAAATCTTTACAATTTGTTTAACTATTTATATTGCACAAATTTTGATCATAAATACACCTAGAGATAGGATGATATTATCCATCAAAAATTTTAGATTTGAAGAACTGAAAAAATCTTAAAGGGGAAATAAATACTTCAACGTATAATAAAAAAAGACTTTAATTTAAAATTCGGCACAATGTATTAGCATTTTCAGGTCTTTGTTGTCGTCTTTGCTATTAACCGGCATCTCACGGAGCGTGTGAGAGGTGCTCTTCGCCGTGCTGGTTCACGTCAGCCAAGAGAAATAGAAAACAGATAATAGTGAAAAGAAAAGAGAACACGGTTGGCACCCCACGTACTGCGAAATAAATACTTGCTTTTTGAGAAATTCCTCGACCTATCCCAAAATGTATTCTGAGGGGGTTTAGTTTAGTTTAGTCTGTTGTATGCCACCAGTGTTGGCGATAAAAACTTTGTTGGGTAATTTATACAATAATAAACATTCCAACATAACTTCGTTTTAGACCACTTCATAGTACAATTATCACAACATTGAAGGGTTGAAGAGGTAAGTACCTTCTCTGCATCAGCTTCCGATCTTACTTTGAACCCTGGTAATTTACTGATAAAGACCGTGACTGCATCCTATCCCTATTTGGGATCGTAAACCGCACATATTGAGGGGAAAACGGTATTCCACGTTGCATTGGCTCCCGTCTTTAGATTTCTCTTCGCCAACTGTGAACAGATGAAGAACGCCATAACTCTCTCCAATCTCGATTTTCCTGTCGAATGTCTTTAGAAATCCATTTCCGTTGCCTCAAGTTTTCTCGTAAGTGATTCTGCTTTTAATAATTGTTTAATTCTTTGTTATTTAATGGTCCCAAAATATATTATTTAGAAGGGATATTGCATTTCTTCCCTGGTTATTTCTTTCTTCTATCATGTCCAGTATATTCCCTTCTTTTGTGATGATCATATCCAGTTCTTCTTCTTAAAGTGCCCTCTCCTCAATGGAGGTTGGCTACTACAATTTTAAACTCTTCTCTATCTTCAGCTGTTCTTATTAGCTGTTCAAAATTTAGCCCTGTCCATTGTCGGATGTTTCTGAGCCATGATAGTCTTTTCCTTCCTAGGCCTCTCTTTCCCTCGATTTTTCCTTTCACTATAAGTTGGGCATATTGGTACTTATTATTTCTCAGTATGTGGCCTAGGTATGATGTTTTTCTTACTTTTACTGTGTTAAAAAGTTCTCTTTCCTTGCCTATTCTATGCAGCACTTCTTCGTTTGAGGTATGCGATGTCCATGAAATTTTGAGTATTCTCCGGTAGATCCACATTTCAAAGGCCTCCAATTTATTTACGGTTGATGTTTTAAGGGTCCACGTTTCAACTGCATATAGAAGAGTCGACCAGACGTAGCATTTTGATAAACGTAGTCGAATTTCGAGTTTTATTCGAGAATCACAAAGCAGTTTTTTTATTTTTTCGAAGGATTTTCTAGCCTGTTCTATTCTCGATCTTATTTCTTGATCAGGATTTAGGCTGCTATCGATCCAACATCCCAGGTACTTAAATCTATTGACCTGTTCTAACATATTGACATATCCAGTTACTTATGTTTAAGGCAAAGAGCCTTTGCCTTAAACTAAATTAATGGGAAAATAATAAAGCAGGAAGCAAGGTTTAGATATCTGGGAATAGATATAACTAGTTACGGAGATGTTGGAAGAAGTACGACAACAAATATTAAAAGCAAGTAAAGCGGCGGGATCTCTTAATGACACAATCTAACAGAACAAACATCTAAGACAAGACACAAAAACAAGAATCTATAAAGCAGCAATTAGACCTATATTAACATATACGGCGGAGAAAAGATCTGACATATCTAAAACGAGACGGCTACTAGAAACAACAGAGATGAAAATACTCCGACGAATATCAGGGAAAAGTCTGTTGGATACGGAGAGAAGCGAAAACATAAGAAGAGCATGCAATATAGAAGACATAAATGGATGGGTGACAAAACGAAAACAGGAGTCGAACGAACACATCAGTAGAATGACAGAGGATAGAATAGTACGAATAGCACGAGATAAGTCACCAAATGGACGAAGAAGTATTGGCAGACCAAGAAAAAGATGGTGCGACAATTTAAAAAATTTAGGAGGCTAATATTGAAGAAGAAAGAGGCTTACAAGAAGGAAGAAGAAGAAGACTTCGTAAACTATTGTGAACTTCGTATCAGAACAATAATATAAACAAAGGTATCCATGTTTATGACACTTTTATAGCATTCACTGAGTCTATATATTATACCTCATTAGCCAACAACCACACTAACTACATTCGTTAAACACACACACCACACACACACACACACACCACACAGTCACACACACTCACACACACACACACACACACACACACGCTACAACTTTTTCAGAACAAAAAAGATACACAAAATGAGATGCGCTAAATTAAAATCGGATAATAAACAAAAAAGTTATTGCAAAATGAACTACAAAATCACTATTTTTGAATATTGTTAATAACTTTTTCATTATTTATTAAAATGTTTAGATAGGTACATCTAAACACATCAAACGAACTTGAAACGCTTTGACGATGAAAGATATTTCCACTAAAAATTGTATGAATTCCTAGATGAGAGTCTTTTTGAAATCTTTCATACTACACATTTCAACTGTCAAACCCGTCTATACAGTTATAACGAAAAACAGGTTTATTTCTTTTTAACTTTTGAATGGTTTAAAAGATAATTTCAATTAATAAATATATTTTTATATTATCTACTCTATTTAATAGGATATAAACAATTATAATTGAAATAATAATTGTGATTATTCGCATTAAATACAGTCAATGACATAGCAATGCCAGAAGAAATAAGTTTCAGAATCACGGTTTTTATAACTAAAAATATATGGATCTAGCCCATTTTATGTCTTAATGAACCACTCTTCATCTTACCCTTTATCATATCGTTGATAATCCCGCTCTCTATGGAACCCTGGCCTATGATAGTCTTGCCTCTTATGTTCGCCAGGAAACCTTTCTTGTTGACCACTCCATCTATCCTGCGCCATGTGTTGTTCATGCCTATAATTTCCAGGTTTTCTATGTCTATTAAAACGGTATTCTTGATCATCCTCGCTAGTTTCATCTCTACTTCTTTTTTTCTCCTTTACACGTCGTTCTTTCCTAAAATAATTCAGTAATAAAAATCAAACACGACAATGAATTAATTATATACATAAACACGATGACTAGTTTTGAAAAGTCATTACTCAAATGCATATCGCACTAATAATACAATAGTGTCACAAATCAAAATGTTTCGAAAATGACAACACCGCACGTAAAATTAAATTAAAGTCAATAAAACTGTCGTTTTAATAGTGCAATAAATAAATAAGAGATGGCGCCATAAGACGTTATTCATGACTGAGCGACTGTCGTCATCCACCTCACAATATCGCGTCATCTCTAGTTGTGACCAACAGTGATCGGGAATGCATTTGTTGCTTGGCTTATCATTTCGAGTTTCCACGTTACTGCCGAATCAGGTATGTAATTTTCATAGCTATATTTCAAGTTATTACATTCTTGTTGATTTGAACCCAAACATAACATTGTTGTTTTTCTAGTTATTACACTATTACTGATTTACACCAACACTTTTTAAATTAATATTTTTACTAACGACACTATTCTTGATTCAGTTCGTTATTTTTGACATGCTACATTATTGTTGAATCATCACTTTAAATCATTTTTGTTGTTGTTTGTAAAACATTTATTAATTTTGTCGATCTATACAAATCGAATCCAATATATCGAATAAAACTATTTGTCGATCACCGGATAGTAATAATTCATTTAAAATGTGTAGCAGTTGTTTAGAATTCACTGAAAATAATAAAAAGTGGCAACATTGTGCGCCATTCTCGGTACCGGCTTTTGAAGCGACGCACCTCTGCGGGGACAAGGAGAGACGATCAAAGAAACCATAGACAATGCCTTCATTTTAAGTTCAGTTTAAACAATTTTTATATGCATTTACCACAGAAATAAAGTTTATTTACAATCACTTTTCTTATGATAGTTGAAGTTAATAATTTCCTCAACAGCAGTGCTATTAAGAAAGCTTACCAACTACTATATTTTATAAATTTAGAGTTACTACACTCTTTGTGACATTTTTGCGTCTAATACCTATATACTTAATCTAATAATATTACTTGATTCATTTTTAGGCTCAATACCTGTGAGTCGTGGGCGATTACTTGTTGCTATGGCAACAAATGCTGAGGACTGCGAACAGAAAATCTCTTCACCGTCGTTATTGTCACTGGAGAGTACAAATAATGAACCTGGTGCCCAAATTGAAAACAGTGACGTTGCAAAAGTACAATCACCTCCTATACTTTCACCATTTACGAGTCATCAAGTACTTCAAGAAATTGAGGTAAACAGTTCCTTTAGTAAGGTTAGCAATATTCAACCTATTACAGAATCCAAACAAAGGCAATATTACATTTCATTGATGCACTCAGAGCAGGGTGACTTTGATTCCGTCCGAGATCCGCATTTTGTTCCTGGTATGCAAAGTAAAACCTATAGTTTGCTTCGAAGTCTAACAATAAAATCATCAAGTAGCTCCTCTTCAAGAAGCTCTTCATCAAGTAGCTTTTCTACCAGTAGCTCTTCATCAAGTAACTCGGATGATAGAGTTGTGGATAATTTAAGTCCTTTTGGTAGAACTAGTTTCTTCGGAAGAGCAAAACAATAATACAAAGAGCAAAAACAGGATACGTAATATTGAAACCTGGAAACACAATGTAGCCAAACGACTTCGCAATACTGACAAAGCGTATGAATCTGTCAACAAAAAACAAGTACCAGCAAGGAAAATGGGTCCGACTTGTGACGAAAGATGCAGGTTGAACTGTCGTTTACAAATAAACAAGACATCAAGACAAGATATTTTTAATAAGTATTGGAGTTTGGGAGATTTACAAAAACAAAGAAAATTTAATTTTACAGTAAACAGCGATCACATTAGAGTTTGCAAAACATTTTTTAAAAATACTCTTGCTATAAACGATTGTCACATTGCTACAGCCCTATCCAAAAAAACAGATTGCGGTTTAATACAGGATAAATTACTAGGAAAACATGGCAAACAACGTAGTGTGGAACCGGAGATCTATCAAGGTGTCAAACATTTTATAAATGCTATACCACGCGTTGAATAACATTACCTTAGAGTCCAGATATCACGGGAATATATCCAGTGTGACAAGGCTTTATCTGATTTATATCGAGAATACAAAGATAAATGTACAGAAGAAAACTTAACATTTGCGTCGGCATCTACCTTTAACCGCATTGTTAATCAAAACTTTAACTTTTCCTTCCATACACCAAAAAAAGATCAGTGTGATCTTTGTGAAAATTTCAAAAATGCTGATAAGGATGGAAAAAAAATATTGTTGTGGCGTACGAAAACCACTTGAAAGAAAAAGAACTGTCCAGAAAAGTAAAAGAAAAAGACAAAAATGCTAATATAGATTCAACAATAACCGCTGTATATGACATACACGCTGTGATGCCAGTAACAAAAGTCCTAGTTTCATTATATTTTTATAAAAGTAGAATTTACTGCCTTAATTTTACTGTGAGTGACTTGTTCGCCAAAAACGTCGAATGTTATTTTTGGGACGAAACGGAGGGAAAACGTGGTGCGAATGTGATTGGGAGTTATATTCTGAAATATAGGGAAAAAATTATTCAGGCTAATTCTGGTAAAGAACTTAACTTTATATTTTATTCTGATAATTGTTGTGGACAGCAAAAAAATAAATACATCCTTACAGCGTATGCGTACCTAGTACAGAAAATGAATGTTAAAAGCATAACCCATCAATTTCTGATTCGCGGTCACTCTTAAAACGAGAGTGACAATGTGCATAGCGTCATAGAAAAGCAAGTAAAACGTTTCGTAAAATCTGGTCCAGTGTATGTCCCACAACAATATATGACATTAATTCAGAAAACAGGCAAACCGTATGGCGTGACTGAAACGACTAATGAAAAATTTTACAATCTGAAATTACTTCCAGAAGAGTGGGGTAACAATTTTAATGTTAATGAGGAGAAAGACTAAATAAAATGGCATGCCATTAAGGTGTTTCTTGTTGAAAACACACATCCATTTACTTTCTTTTATCAGAACTCTTACGAAGATGAAGATTACCAAAAAGTTTTCGTACGTAGCTTACGACGAACTGAAAACCAGACTTCTGTATTTGCTAATGGTTTGACATGA